ATCAGCGCTGATCTTGCAAAGCACTATTTCAAGCACGTAGTTGGAGTACAGGAAACAGCTCCTTGCACCTGTGGTGAGCTCTCCACTTACTAGATGGGAGACTGTTCTGAGAGTGACCTTGCATCTAGAGAATCATGTGTCCTTAGGAGAATGTGCAATATCTTGTAACAACCAGATAAGATGCAAATTAGCGTTCCATTGTAATCCACTTTTGTTAATGAAAATGATAAAAACGGTGTATTGATAAGCTAGGACACTTGTGAAAACTTTGTGTCTTCTTCAGAACTTTGTTTCTGGCACAGTAAGGTGGGGAAGCACATTAGGTGTATGATTACTCTGGGGCCTGGGAGAACTTCTTAATTTCCTAGAGCAGTTTGTCAACTGTATGTGAAACGGGGAGCAGGTATGACAAAAGATGACACCCATAGAAAACTGCTACCTGATGACACTTGGAAGTGATTGTCTTAACATCACAGACATAACACCTTGAACAATATAGAGATGCATAAACAGTTGAACTTAGAAATAGCTGTATTGGCTTTATGTAATAAAGGAAGCATTTTTAACTTAATCTCTTGTGTAATTATTCACATGTGAGTTGGGTGTAAAGGAGATTGTCTTCCATATATGGGGCAAGTTATGGAGGTTTGAGTATTTTGGACAATTACAGTTAAGATCACAGCTCCCTCTTCTTATAAAATGAGAAAGTTGGTATGAAAGTTGGTAATCTTTCTTATTCCAAATGTTGATACAGACATCAGGCTTTTAAATCCTTTGATTTGTTTGAGGTGCAAAAAGAGGCTTTAATTAAAATACTTTTCAAAATTGTCTAGAAAAAAGTGCTGGTTACTGGTTTACTGATAAGCTGCTTGTCATTCTTTCATCCTGAATTTCTTGTTTTACTATTTGCAATGCTTTTAGTGACTGTGTTTACTAACAGTCCTCTTGAAAAGCATTGCAGGCCCAAGGTTGGCCTACACAGGAATCAGCCATGTAGCTAGAACCAGGTATTTGGTCAGGGAGTTTTAGAAAGTATTTTCTGTGGTTTTAGCTTGGACATGTGATACAACTTGGTTTAACCACCACGCCGGGCAGGTGCGCATCTGTCTGTGTCATACGTGCTATGGCAAGAATTTCAAGCAGTGTGCAGAGATATAATGTAAACATCTACCAACATTTCACTCTTATTCCAGAAATTGGAAGATGTTAGTTACCTATATTTCTATGTAGGGCAAGTTTTGAGAGTCTTACTATATTCCTGCGGTGGGGCCCAAGAATCCTACTAAAGAAGCATTCCAGGTCATTCTGATGCTAGAGTTTGGAACCTCAGCTGACATTGGTAAGAAATAAAACTGCAGAGTACTCTGCTTTCAGCAAACATATTTACATTTTTTCAAGAGTTAACACATGACAAAAATGTGTGTGTGGAAAGCTTAGGGTTTATCCAGGGAGTATTCTTTTGCCCTAATTTCTATTGGCAGCAGATAAAGCCACTACTAATAGAAATACAGAATTTGACTGTGAAGTTTGTTATTTCAGAGAACATTAATCGGAGAAAACAGTGAACACAATGGCTTGAATAATAGAATTAGGCTTAGTTGAGTGGTTTCTTTTGCAGAACTACCCAGAGTACTGGCTTGGTCAACACATAGGAAGTGCAGCTTCTGGTTCTTGACTGTTTTGTTGTTCTGTGAACTGTCAGAGACTGGATATGTCCAAGGACACATACATCACTTTCTCATTATTTGGGGCATTTCTGAAAAGTCTCCAAACAAGCTCCGGTAAAAGGACCACTAATTACATTGTGGCTGGGGTGGGGTCCAGGAGCCAGGCTCACGTATAATTTGAGCTGTTTGGCTGGCCAGGGCTCTCCTTGGGCTCTGCCCAGTTCCAGAAGGGTAGCAGAAAGGGGACTTACCCAGCCTGTAGCCAGTGCCCTCAGAAGCCAGCCTGAGAGGTCAAATAACTTGCCTAAGGTCACACAACTCATGAGTAGCAGAACCAGGGCAACTAGGGCCTCTTGTTTTCTGGTCCTTAGTGCTTCCCCTTGAATCCCTGGGGAGTTCTTCATTTTTAACCTGGATTTCTAAAGTTAGATCTTATTCAGTGCCATGATGTGACTTGAACTGGGAAGGAAAACACAATTCTTTTGGGCTTTGAATCTTGTTAAACCCAAATCTGAAAGAGGCTCAGAGAGAAGGCATTTGTGGAGTGTGTCTAGTCCCAGCTCTGCTTGTTGGTGGTCTAAGAGATTTCCAACCTGTGCTGCGAGAATTTTTAAAACGTGTCAGTGGCCCAGGATTTAGGGGCACTGACCTCTTTCCCCTTAGATTGTAAAAAAATGACAATAGCCATCTGGTGTGTATAAATCAAAATTATACCTATTTTTGTCAGGTCAGCAAAAATCTGTTTTTCAGTGTGCCACAGAGTTTTAGGAATTAGTGTATGTGTACCAGGGGATGAGAAAGGTTGAAAATAGCTGGTCTAGATGAGCAGTAGCACTGCGCCCAGGCCGTGGCCTCAGAAGCCAGGCTCTGGGAGAGCAGTGCTTCCTGTTAGCAGGCCAGCCAGTGCCTTGTAGTTGGCTAATGCTCCAACCCAGCCTGGCGATTCCTGCCTCCACACAACTTCATTCCAAGTGACTACAAAGCCAGGGCTCCAGTGCTGTAGGGGTGTTGCGCTGTACTTGCAGGCCAGGAGAGTGGCCAGGACAATGCGCCAGGCTCCCACGTCAGTTCCATATGGTGGGACACCAGGGGGCCTGTCAGCCTCTTACGCTGCAATGTGCTCCCACACCTTCCTGATTCTCTCTCTTCTCCTTCCCTAGCCTGATGATGAAGCCTTGCCCAGGAACAGCCCTTGTGACAAGGCCCGACTGAAGCCTGGCAGGTTGCCTGGCAAACTTGGGCTCCCTCTGCTGGCCTGGGAGGTGCCACTGCTGGGCCTCGGGGCTGCTTAGTCCTTGCTGGGTTGGAGGGAAGAAGGCCTGATGATGGGCTCTCAGAGCTTGAGCTCCAGGTAACATTTTCCTGAGTCTCACAGGGCCCCACACTCTGCACTTTTACCTCCTCCCCACAGGCAGACACTGGGTCCCCACCAGGTGGTTTGAGAAGGGAATAGGGAGTAACCAGAACCCAAAGGCAGCCATTTGGTACCCCCAGGGTTTCTTGTCCTTTCCCTGAGGTGCTCCCATTCCTGTGCCTTCAGAGGGCATCTGCTCAGCATTAGTTCTCACTTCTGCACTCAGTGGGGCAGGGTGGGGAACTTAATGGAAATGCAGGCCCCCAGGCCCACGGAGGAAACTTATCAAGGTCCAAAACATTGACCTTACGTAAGGGTGGGAGGACAAGTTGTGCCGCACAGGGCCAGCCCTCCTGTGCTAATAAGCCTCTGCTCCTGTGGCACAGGCCACACAGAAGGTACAGTGAGGGGCCACAGGTTCATGGGGCTCAGTGCCACTCTTCATGGGGTCTGAACATGCCAGATGGCATTCTCCCTCCAAATGACCTCCAGGCTGCATGATGTACTGCCAAGCATTAGAGATGGGTTTGTAACCTGCCTGCCTTTTGCTTGGTGAGTTACCTTCTTTTCATTGGGATTGCAAAATGGGAGGTTCACCTCCCATGGGAACTAAAAGATTCACCAGAGAGCCAGGTGTTAATAATGGTCACTCCTTCCTGCTCAGTCTTCTGGCCAGGAACCATGACATCCATGTCCCAAGTGCTGTGTGCTCCCCTCTGCTTCAGCCCCCTCAAGTTCTAGAATAGGTACAATTGTCTTCCCTTGTCTAAAAAACTTACAGCCTTGCCTGTCCAGACTGTAATCTGTCCCCTCAGCCTGAACCCTTCTTTCCTTCCCCTGACAAATGTCTTCTGGTCTGGTTAACTCCAGCTCCAGCTTAGGCTCCCTTCTCTGGGGAGCCTTCCCAGAATTTCCAGCTCCCTGTTCCCAGTATGAGTGCAATGCACAACGCCACACAGCACAAGGAGGTGGCCCACAGACCAGGCGCTCCAGGAGAGCTGGGACCACGACTTGGCGTGCAGGTTAAGGTCAGCACTGTCCGGCCCCTGGCAGATGCTCAGTGTGTGGGGGCTGAAGGCAGTGAAAGGATACACAGTGCAATATTTCCCAAGGTCTTGAGGTTCTCATGACAACTGTGCCAGAGGAGTCTAACCCACCAGCCGAAAGGTTGCCTCCTGGGAGCCCATCCCCTCTGGCTAGCTGGACCTGCTATCCAAGTGCTCACTCCCCAGCCAAGTTCAGCCAATGAGACCCCCTCCCAGGGTGCTGAGGGTTGGGAGATGGACATGGGATAGTGCTTGGTGTTCAGGCAGCCCCTTGACAGAACTGGCTGACATCTGCCTCAAAGAACCCAGGCTGCTCAGTTTCACCTTCCATTCCTGGAGTATTTCAACCCCTCCTGTGACTCAGCCTCTAAATCCATTTTTTGCTTAAGCTACAGGTTCCTATTTTTTACAAAGTCTCCGACACACCTCTTGGCCCAATGGTTTTCTGGACCATGCTGTCTTGGGCCACAAAGGACACAGAGGGTCGGGAGGATCCCAGGAAGTCTCAGCTGGCTGCTCCAGCCGTGGTCTGCCCCTCTTGAGATGGATGTTTGTTCAAGCCCCAGCCAGATGGACAGAGACCCTCTTATTCACTCAGAGCTCATAGCACACAGCAGCCTAGGCCACCCACAGCCCTGCTCAGGTAACCTCAGATCCTCAAGGGTAGGGACCACAGAAAGTGTACCTGGCATCCAGGGTCTGCTCCTCCTGCCTGGTGGGCACTGGGGCCTGGGAGGCACAATGGGGAAAAGTGCTGGGGACCTGGAAGCAACACATTTCATCCCCACTTTAGGCCGAGCTGCCAATTCCCTGACATCAAAGAAACCAAGAACCACACTTCTTCTCTCCTAAGGGATCCAGCCCCTCTTCATTCCTCAGTCCAGGCCCAGAGCCAGCAGGGAAGCCCCAGCAGAATAGCAGACGAGACCGCAGTGCCGGGCGACAATGTTGGTTTTAATGATACAACATCCAGGAGGTCACTTATCAGTTCTGGTTGGCAACTTCTTCCAGGGGTGAGGGGCTGCTGCCTTGCTGGGCTGGGCCGGGCCCCTCCAGTCTGTGCCACAGCCTTTGAGACTCACCACCTGGTCTGCCCGCCTCCCGGCCCCCGACCCATTGAAAGACAAAACAATTGCACTGATCTCGACATACAGACAGCCAGAGGTCCCGGCCTCCCCAGCACACACCCGGGGTCTGTCACAGCTGATAAGGGCTTTGGTGTCTGCTCTGTGGTGGTCCAGGGCTGATCCTGGGGAATAGTGTTTATCGAATGTGACGGGTTCTTTTACAAACAGGGGGTCTGGTCTGGAAGATCTACTTCTGTGGTTCTAAGAGACTGTCTCTAATGGCTTCTCTCAGAGCCACTGGAGTTGGGCCTGGATAACGCTGTGTTGGTTTGTGTATTTGTAAGGAATGTATAAGGCATTTTGGTAAGTTGAACAGTAACTTCTTTTTCCACAGAGGAGACTCAGACAGAGGTGCCCTCCTTTGAGCTGCTACCGTCGTCCTGTGAACAAAAGGCAGAGGGAGGGTGAGGGTAGTGCCAAGGAGCCAAGGAGAACACTAACCCCAGCTCCTAGGGACCTCCAGTCCCCCGGGGTTAACCCTCCACGCCCTTCGGAGAATACCCAGCACATCAGAGAACCAGAGCGGACTCCTGGGGCTGGCGGGGAGGCCTTAGGGTTGATGGGAGCTGAGGGTTCCAAGTTTGGGTGAGCACCTTGATCCCACAGGCCTTAGGCTGGCTGTGGGAGTCAGAGACTGCTGCTCACCAGAGACCCATGGGTGCTGCGCATCCTGATGCCACCCTTCAGAAGTCTGTCCCCATGCCTTCTGCCCCAGGTCCGTGACTCCTTTTGGTTCTGCATCCAGGAGTCCTGGGCCTCCAGCACAGGCCCAACCCTTCCCAGCAGCCCTTGAGAGCCAGTGGCCCTGCATGGTCAAGACACTCACTGATTTGTCCAGCTGCTCCTGCAACTTCTTCACTGTCTCTTTCTCCTTTGCCAGCTGCTCCTGGGACGTCTTCAAAAGCCCCTGTAATTTGGTGGCTGCACGTCCCAGGTCACTCGTTAACTTCTTCTCTTTTTCTAGTCTCTCCTGTGCATCAGAGGGTTGAAGGGGATTAGCCTGCACACTGGGGAGGTAGGAGGTTGCGGTCTCCTGCTCACCAGACAGTGATGATCGGGAGCGGACAGATTAGTTAGGCCTGTGCCTATCTACCAGTACTGCCAGCTGTGACTGGGATGTTCTGATGTGCACTGGACAGATGTGGCTGCTGAACACGTGCAATATGGTCACTGTGACTGAGGAACTGAACTTTAAGTTGTGTTTCATTCAAATTTAAATAGCCACAGTGACTAGTGGCTGGCGTATATGACACTGGAGGTTTAGGGACTACCCCCCCCAATGACCGAGTTAGGCTGCATCTGCCCAAGGGGCTGCAGGATGGCTCCTCCCCCATTCCTGCTCTAGGTGGTGACAATGGGAAGCCAGTGCCCAAGCCTTGAGCAGAGCTGCCCTTCTACCTTCAACTGTGTGGCTGCCTCTGCTTCTGCTGAGTCCAAGGCACTGGCACGGAGCTTCTCCAATTCCTCCTGTAGCCGGCACGCTGCATTCTGAGCCTTGGCAGAGAAGGGGCAGAGGGCTTACGGCATGGGGTCGGGGAGTCGCCTCACAAACCCTCAACTAGCCCACTTGGGATGGAAGGGCGGACCCAGCATGATGGGACAACAGTTCCAGCGGGTGGACATGAGGCAGGTGAGCAACTGCACAGCAATAGCCCCAAGGGTGGGACCATTCAGGCTTGCAACCACCTGCCTGGGCCACACCCTCCACCATCCCCAACACAGCTGATGGCTCAGGGCCCCCTGCAGGACCTCACCTCCTCAAACTCAGCTGTGAGCTTCTGCCGCTGCGTCTGCTCATCCTCCAGGATGGCTTCTGTCCGCTCCAACTGCGTCTTCAGCTGTGTGGAAACACCCAAACATCCTTTGGGAACCTGATGAAGGACCCTCTTGGGAGCCCAGGGCTCCTGGGAAGGTTGAGACCTGGAGGCTCCACCTTCTAGCTGCTGCTAGTATTGCTGCCTCTCCCTGCCTCTGCCCAGCTGGAGTGGCCTCTGCCCACCAGCCAGCCTACCAAGTCGATTCCAAAGCTCTCCGTTATAGGGACATGGTGCCTCAGCCTCTGGGTACAAAAGCTGATGTGGCTGAAGGGAGATGCCGGTGGGACCTCTGCTGACCTTTAATGAGGCCCACAGACAAGGATGCCTCCGAGCCACTGGCCAAGCCCCGCCCCACAGCAGTCTCCCCATCCAGCAACCAGCCCACTGCCACTTTGGTGACGGGCCCTGCCTCCTGGCGAGAGCTCTTGGCGGCACCTACTTGGGTCAAAAGTTGGAGAGCAAGCACCCTACTAGTGATGCCTCAGCAAGGGCCACAGTGCGAGATCAGACCCTAATCACAGGCCTGGCTTCCCCTCCTCCCTCTTCCATCCCCCTCTGCACATGTTGTTAGGATCAAGCTTCTAACACCCTGCCTGGCACCTTCCCTGCCCTTCATCTGCTCTGTGGCTTCCTCAGAGCCTGGATGACCCACTCCCGGTATCGGGGCAGAGGGCTGGGGAGGGCAGGCAGTGGAGGCTGCAAGTAGCAAGTGTTTAGCCAGAACAGAGGCCTACTGTCCCTGCACTCCAACTGGGATGGATGAGCCCGGGGGTGGTTAGTGACAGACATCTGAGGACCAGCTCACCGCCCTAACCTCGACAGGGTCCTGCTCTGCTGGGGGGGCCTCTGGAGACCCAGCTACGTCACCATCCTCTACGTGGCTCTTCATCTCACTCAACTGCTGCCTGACCTGAAACGGGAGGGGTGGGTTTGTGCAAATGCCCAGCACACATACAGACCCCCTTGGGAGGGCCGCAGATGCTCTCAACAGCCAAAGACCCTCAGAGCACTTGGTTTGGTTACTGTGACCTGTAACCAATGAGAGGCCTGGGCTGGCCTGACCCATGTGTTCTCCAAGACCAGCCGGCACAAAACCCTCCCCAGGAGCAAGGTGACCCCTGGTGGACGCAAGGCACACACAGTGGAGGAACTCAAAAGGGAGAGGCGCTGAGAGGCTCAGCATGCATCACACTGCCTAGGTCCTGGATTCCTTCTGGACATAGACCTGTTCAGAGCCCTTTATGGGGTCTAGAGAAGATTACAAGAGGACACTCTTGTCTAATAAGGTTCCCCTACCCCTGAGCTCCACTGCTGGGGGCAAATGACACGTTAGTGGTCCCCAAGCCCTCAGACCATTGAGCTCAGATCTGAAGAGGCAACAGCATCATCACCATGAAGCTCAGATAACGGTTCCAGTTAAGGGGTCTAGGTGGGCCCTTGGCCAAGTTTTCCAGGAGACATGGGTGGTCTCAGACACCCCAAGTGTGGGCCCTGCTCCCTGGCTTCCTTCCCTTCCTCCCAACAACCCCTAAAGGCAGAAGCCAAACTGCCTGGGCTAATGAGCACTCAGGGGCGTTTGCTCCACACATGCCCCCAGGCTGGGCAGTGCCCCAGGAGCCTATCACCCAGATCTTGCTTTAGGAAGTGGTCCTTGGGCTCAGGCGGTGACTCAGTCTGGATGATATTCACTCTCTGGTGCAATAGTCCCAGGTAAGGCCCCCAGGGAGTCGGGAGCATGTGCACCATGCAGAGGCTGCAAGCTCAAAAGATGCTGCTGTAGGAATGGCAGCCCATGCGTGAGACCGGTCCCCTCACAGAAACCCAGACACATCCATTTGTGTTCAAAATCTCCCAATTTCTGTCAGCTGGTTCAGAATTTTTAAAACGACCATGTAGATAAAACCACATGCCTGTGACCTTACAGGCTGCTATTTGCAGCCCCAGCCCTGGAGTTGGTATTGGGACCAGTGGGCTCACCTCTGTAAGACTGGGCTGACTGACAGGGAGTGGGGGCTGTGATCAGACACCAACACTGAAAACTGGGAGGGCCCAGAGGCCAAGTGCACACAGGGAGCTCTGAAAGTCTGCTTCTACTGCCAGGCGCAGAGCAGGCCTCCCCGCCGTGGGCTGGACAGAACTAGCCTCAGCCTCTGCCGCAGTGAGAAAAGTCCTGAAGTCCCACAGAGGGCAAGGCCTGTGCTGACAGCCCAGGGGCAGACGAGTCAATCCCAGAAGCTCCAGGTAGCACTGGACTCGGGCAGACTTCCCTGAACACCCAGCCCTGCCCCAGGAGACATGGGAAGTGGGGCCTGAGCACACTGGTCCCAGCAGCCACAGGCCCAGCTTAGAGGTTTGAGCTAATGTGCAAGGAGCCCCTTTAAGCACAGCCCAATCAAAGCCTGGCCCAAACACCAAATTGGTGCACACGGCCCCATCACCTTTGACAGGATGTAAAAGCGGGACTGGAAATTAATCTCGCACATACACACACACACACCTTCCACGTCTCATGCCGCTGCCCCACCCCATGTTCACTCACCAGGGCAAGCTCATTGCTCTGTTTCTGGGCTTCACTCTTGGCTGCATCCAGCTGAGATTGAGATTCTAATAAAAGTTGCCTCAACTTGAGAAGTAAACAGACCCAGATGATGCGGGCAAAGGATGGGGAAGAGAAAATCAGCGCCTGTAAGTTAACACCTAAGCACAACCTACTACATCCCTGTAACCCAGACCCTTAAGAGCATGCAGGGCACAGTGAGTACACAGACTCCCAGGCCTCTGGCAGCTCCTGCTTCCTTTCTGAAGACTTAGGAAAAGCCGGCATTCACAGTCTATCTCGTCTGGAGCTCTTGCAAATGTTTATGGACTGTCTCTCAAAATAAGGCCAAAATTTTGAGATCAAACCAGAATTGGGGTGCCAGTTTTGTGCTTTCTGCTTCAGAAGTCAGAAAACAGTATCAGATTTAAATCCATTTTCCCCAGAATGGTGTCACCAAGCCAGGTGGAGAATTCTCTCGCTGCTCAACCATCCCAGCTTCACCCCTGCCCTGTCAGTTGGCCCAAGGCCTAGAGCAGCGGTTCTCAACCTGTGGGTCGCCACCCCTTTGGGGGTCGAACGACCCTTTCAAAGGGGTCGCCTAAGACCATTCTGCATATCAGATATTTACATTACGATTCATAACAGTAGCAACATTACAGTTATGAAGTAGCAACGAAAGTAATTATATGGTTGGGTCACAACATGAGGAACTGGATTTAAAGGGCCAGAAGGTTGAGAACCACTGGCCTAGAGCAAAGCCAGAGAACTGGGACTTTGAGCTCCTGTGAATGAGAGCTGCTGAGAAGCCGCCTCTGGGCAGGCCGGGACCCTGGGGAGACTCACCCCCGCCACCTCCTGCGCGTAGCTCTGGCACTCGGCGCTAGCGGCTGCCATGTGCTTCTCCAGCTCTGCCTCCAGATGCGAGGTGTGCTCCCTCACCTGGACATGCAGATGCACATGTCAGAGACCGAGAGCCAGCCAGCAGGGAACAGCGTGATGAGCGACAGATGGCTGGCCCTGAGATAAGGGCTAAGAGAGACCTCCACAGCCCGACGACTATGGAGCCAATCAAAGCCAGGCAGAAACAAGACCATGGCAACAGAACCCCTTCCTAAAAATTGTTCCCAATCTCCAAGTGCTCCTGGGTCTGTGTTCTCAGCCCTCAGCAGTTGGGGAGAGGAGTGTTCACAGTGACTTGCTGGGTGGATACCAGGAGTACCCTCTTCATAGCCAGGGCTGACGGTATGTCTCCCGAAGGCAGTGGGCCCACCTCCCATGCCTCAGAAGGCCACTGCAGAAGCCACTGCTCACCAGAGCTGGGCATTCTGCAAATGGCCCATGTGGTCTCAAATGGCTCAGGCTGTAAAAGACCCTCATTAAGGAAAAGCAGGGCTGATAAGATCCCCTGGCCACTCAAGACACATGGTCCACAGGGGAAATAACTAAGGTAGCCTCGTAATGACGTTTCTCAGTAATAAGGAAAGTAGTCCTCTAACCCTCCATACGCACCTGATCTGAACTTTCAAGTTCTCCTTTTAGCTTCTCTACAATCTCTTCAAGATGTTTCACTGTGACCTGTGACTACAAGGCAAGAGGAAGGCATGTGTCAAACTTGAGCCCCATCTCTTAGGAAGCCCGCCCACTCTGAGCATGACCCCACAGCCTCTTCCTGGAGGTGAGCAGGGAGAAAGGTGGTCTCCTTGAGGTTGAGGACGTATCCGTCATTCTGCAATTGCCTATAAATATGGCATCACCAAAACCCAGCAAACGTGACTCCCGTCTCCCAAATGATGCCATCGGCTTTCCCCCTGGGTTTGACCCAGCTGTCTTTCTTAAGGAAGTTACGTTTGGATTCCTAGGAAGGTGGACCCCTGGAGCGTTGCTCTCGTCACTGGGCCCTGGCGAGGGTCAGAGGGCCTTGTACCTTTTGGAGCTCCTCCTCTGCGGTGCTGACTCTGGCCTTCCACACCTGCTCCTCCTCCTCCACACTCTTCTGCAGGTGTCTGAGCATACCCTCCTAGGGGGACAGGCAGTGAGGCAGGGCCCTCTCTGTGGAGGCCCACCCCACGTAAACACACCACTGAGTCTTCCTGTCCCTCAGTCCCTCTGTGATGACTGCCTGACTGCCGGCGTCGCCTTGCTCTGATTTGGTCAGTCAGCGTCACATGGGGAACAAGATGGGCCACAGTCCGGGAGTGGGGCCCTCTGGCCGGTGTGTGAACAAAGTCTGTGGGCCACACAGGGGAATGAGGCCTGTGACCCAAATGAGGCCACAGGCATCCTCATCTCGGCTGAGTCTGACAACCGTGCACCCTTAGTGGCCCAGCATGAGGAACACAGGATGGGCCCAGCACTTTTCCTGGAGCCAGAGGCCACAGCTTCAAGCCAGCTGTCAGCCGAATGGTCCCACCTTCCTTTCCCTTCCCAGACTGTTCCTTGTTTTGACCAAGTCTCTCTGTCCCCTGAGAGCAGCCCCAAACCTTCAACCCTGCCCTCTCCACAGCTTGGAAATCATGAAGACCTGGGCGTCTTCCTCATCCCTTTTACCATTCAGCCAGCGAAATAGGGCCCGACTGGGAGTGACTTGCCCCAAGTCCCACAGAGCCTGCATCTGAACCCAGGGCTCTTGTCCATAACACCCTGCCTCCTGCTCTGCAGGCCCAGAAAGCTCTTTCCTGGAAGCCCCTTGGTGGGACACCCAGCCAAAAGCCTAGCCAGAGGCCCAGCCCTCGTGCCTTACTGTCTCTGCCAGGATGGTGCGGTACTGGTCACACTCGGCCTGCAGGCTGCTCTGGGTCTCCTCAGCCTCCCTCAGCTTGGAGGCCAGGTCCTAAGGGCAGAGGGCAGTACAGGGGTCTGCTTAGCCAAGCACAGAGGTTTCTCCCAAGGCCTGATGAAACCAAAACTCCCTTCCTGCGGACAGGAAAGCAAGGGGCAGCCCCACGAGGGCCTGTTTATGCCATGCTTACCGAGGGCAGCTCTGTGTTCACTGGCGGCTGCTTCAGCAGTTCTGGGCCTTTCTCTTTGAGTTCTTGGAGCCACTCAGTGTAATTCTACAACGAAAATGTGCAAAGGGAGCTTAGTGACTTTTAAAAATATATATATATTTTATCGATTTTTTACAGAGAGGAAGGGAGAGGGATAGAGAGTTAGAAACATCAATGAGAGAGAAACATCGACCAGCTGCCTCCTGCACACCCCCCATCGGGGATGTGCCCGCAACCAATGTACATGCCCTTGGCCGGAATCGAACCCAGGACCCTTGAGTCCGCAGGCCGACGCTCTATCCACTGAGCCAAACCGGTTAGGGCTCAGTGACATTCTTGATGAGCAGTGGGGTCTGAGGGAACAGCCCCCTCCTTTTACCTGGTGGGCTGAGTTGGAAAGTGCTGGGAGCAGAGCCAGCAGCGCCTCCTTGGTCTGTGCCTCAGTCAGCGTGAGCTGCTTTTCGGATTCCTCCTGCAGGGGGGAAGGCGATTCTCAGACATGAAGGTTTAGAGTAAATCCCGGGAGAGTGTCCCCAGAAATGCTAGAGTTTTCACCCCAGAAAGGGGAGGGAGGAGGGTCAAAGGAGGAGGTGGGCAACTTGTGGGGTGATTGAGGGGCAGTGTTTAACCTTAGTGGCCAGTCCTCTATTTTAAACAGATTCTGCTCTAATGAAGGGAGACAGCAGGCTGGCCCATGTGGCAGATAGGGGTTAATCAACACCTCTCCACAGAGACTCAGGCTAAACCAGTTGTTGATTTCCGGGGGGTATGTACACACTATGGGGAGGGTGGGGTCCAAGCTGCTATGAGAGATGACAAGGAGGCAAAGAGAAGATGTATCTCCCAGTAGCCACGAAAGTTAGGAGCTACTGCTGGCCAGGGGTGGCGGGACACCTGGCAACAGTGGAGGGAGAATCAGTATTCCCACTTTGCCTTATGCCGTGGGCCATGCCGCACTCAATCAGCGGCCCCAGTGGTCCTCCTTGAGTCTCCTCTTCAAAGCATGAAGGACCAACGTAGCTATAAAGCGAAGCCTAGGAGAGCAGCGTCCCCTGGAGACAGACAGCATCCCCTTTCTGCACACCGTGGGGGTGGCCACAGGAGATTTCTGGCTAAAAGACAGTTTTTCTAATAACCACAGCAGCTGGACCTACTGCCACAGCCGCACTCTCCACACGCCTGGGCTCCAGGGGCAGCACGAGGCGCCGCACAGCTAAGAGCTGTGACTGGTGTTCTGCAACGTGCACATGGAGGACGGCCCACGGACACCAGCTTGACCACAGCGCCCACATGGTCTGGAAGTCTTAGAAGCAGACCCTTCTTGTCTCACCAGTGACCCAGAGACAATGCGTGCCACAGACCCCCAACCTCATGACTACCATTCAGGCCCCCCGTCTTGGGAGTTGGAAGCCAGAGCCAGTGGACCCAGAGGCCAGCTCTTGTCTTTATCTGGCTGCGTGACCACAAGCAAGTCAGGTGACATCTCTAGTCATAGATTCTGCATTTGCCACAAGTAGACCAGGCAGGCTCAGGTCACCCTGGGGAGTCTAGGTACAGCTGCCACAATGGGACCTGAGGCCAGCCCTCCCCCTCCGTCTCAGGGGCACATCCATGAAGTCACTGAAAGGTCCTGAAAACAGGGCAGACATGAGACACAATGCAGCACTGGCTCCCAGCTCAGGGCTTCAGAAGTGATGTGAGGGCCCCGGACACTGAGATGCCTGCATTCTCCCCAACCTGGGTTGCACAGAACCCAGGACCAACGTGGACTTCAGGGCCCGAGTGCTGCCAAAGATGTCTCTCCCCTCTGTGACTTACTGTAGGGAGCAATCACAGAACCTACTGCGCCATGATTTCAGAGGGCCTGAGAGAGCAGCAGGATCAGACAAAATACCAGGGTTTCGAAGACGGCCCAATGTTGAACTCACGGCCTTCATGGCCCATCTCTGCCCCCTGATGGCAAAGAGCCCAGGTGAGAAAGGCAATCAGAAGTATATTTACACCTGTTCTCGTAGCGAGAGCTCAAGGAAGGGAGGGAAGGAGGACGATGCGGGAGCCGGGCACATGTGCTGCCCTCAAGGAGGACCCGGGTGCGGATCTCTGAGATGCACCAGGGCCGAGGCTGTGCTGCATGCAGTTGGTGAGTTTTGCGTTTGGCTAAACTACACAGATGCTGCTGACAGTCTTCACTAGCAGGCACGTCGAAGGCTGGGACTGACCTTGGCCTGGGTCAGGGAGCGCAGCTTCTCTTCGAAGGCTCTCTCGGCTGAGGCCAGGGCCTCCATCGCCTTCCAGTTCTTCTCCCGGAGGTCCTGGGGGAAGACATGGAACAGTCAGCAGCCAGGCGGGGCAGCAGCTGTTCCCCCCCCCCCCCGCCCAGGAGCTGCCCCCGAGGATCTCAGTGGAGCAGAGCCTCCCGACCCTGTTCTGCACCCCACAGGAGGCCTGCAAAGGGACAAAGTGCCCTCTTCTTGGGCCACACCCACTGGGCTTCTCTGGGGGCAGATAACACAAGGCCCAGGTGCTGCAGCCCACTATGGGGTGGCTGTGGCATAGCATGAGGAGGGTGAGCATCTTTTCAGGGAGATTCTATTCTGGAGGAGGGAGGGCCAGCCTGGCTCCTAAGAAAAAAGAGGTTCATGTCACCAAACAGTAAGCACTGACCCCTTGGCTGGCTCTGGCCAAGCCAGGCACATGCAGGTACAAGGGGAACCTCCTCTGGGGACAGCAGACAGGGCTACCCGAAACGGGCTCTGTGAGGTGGTGGGTGGGAAGCCGGGTGAGGATATAGCAAGGATCCTCTGCTCACTGCCTGCCCTCCTTCCCCCGGCGCCCAACCCTCCCCACACACACAGTAGAGGAACTGCCACATCCCCTTTTCCTGACACTAGCCTCAAGATGACTGACCATGTGACCCTGGAAAGTGGCCAATCAGCACATCTCTGTCCTCACGGGGGTTCCATACCCGGACACATGACCCAAGCTGATCTAATGGGAGTCTACCCTGGGACTCTGGATGGACCCCAAAGGCAGGCTTTCAGCAGTGAGTAGCACAATGGGATGTAAAGAGGCAGCTAGCCCCACCCCTCCTCTGCATACACATGCCCAATACTCACATTGTTCTTCACTTTCTGCTGCTCAACCGCCTCCTTGAGGTTGGTGGCCTCCTTTTCCAGACATGATACCTGGGACTCCAACTCCTTGAGGCTGAAAGGAATTAGTGGGGTCACTGTGGGCTCTGAAGGCACACAACGCCCATAGTCTTGTTTCGGGAGGGACCCTTCCTCCTCTGCCTGGGTGCCCACCCTAGCCAGGAGCACCTCCCACTCCTGACCACCTCCCAGGGCACAGACTTTTAGGAAAGACCAAACTGCCACCCGCTCCCCTCACTCACCCTGAGTGCCCAGGGATCAGGGTGCAGGCCTCAGAGGCCACCAGAGTTCTACTTGGTGACTATGGCCACAGAGACTGCAGGGGTCAGAGCAGCCACAGGGGCCAGAGCAGGGACGGGCCCCGACAGTAGGGCTTTCAGGGAAGCTTTTTCTTCTAATGAACCAAGCCCACTGCCTGGTTACATGGCTCTTGGTCAACCTGGTCCTGCCCTGTCCCCACTGAACTTGTCAGCTGGCCCTTCTCAGAGGACACCTGAGCTAGAAACTCATGTGGTGCCTGCACACCCAGAGACTCAGCACCGCTATTCTCGGCAGCTCATTGTGTAAAGCGGGACCATCCTTTGTCCAAAACCTAACTCTGCTGGGACCCAAGGACTCCTCCTGCAGTCTGTGCCCCTGGTGCGACCCCCAGACACCACAGGGTTGGCAAGATGTAGGCCTCAACTTTTCACCCTTCTTCCAGATGCAATGGCCCAGTGGGCTTTGTCCAATCTCATCATCTAGAAAGTGAAATGCTGACACTATAACTGTACAAGCTGTTCCGAGGAACGGGCTTCAAATGGACACTTGGATATGTCACCTTGTGCATTAAGATTTAGGACTGGGCCCTGGCTGGTGTTTCTCAGTGGTTGGAGCATCGGCCCACACCATGCACTGAAGGGTCACCAGGTTCGATTACTGGTCAAGGGCAATCCCTGGCCTCAGTTGGGGACGTGCAGGAGGCTACCAATCAAGTGTCTCTAACACATCAATGTTTCTCTCTCTCTTTCTCTCTCCTCCCTCCTTCCCTTTTACTCTCTCTGAAAAACAATGAAAAAAAAATACCCTCAGGTGAGGATTAAAAAAAAAAAAAAAGATTTAGGACCAAAAAGGCCCCAGGGACAGAAGCCCCACCAAGGACCTCCTGCTAGAGGAGGCTGCCACGGCCACCAGGAGGGGACATACAGATTTGTACTTCTTATTGTGGGCAACAACCAAAAACATTTTGATAACCACCCTAGGAATTCGCTGCGTGGCCGGGCCGGAATCTGACTTTAAAATACAACAGCAAAAGCCTAAACAAATACAACCTTTCTATTCCAACAAATACCATGAGAAACAAAGATCCTCCAACCTTTCTGGAAAAGGAAGTTGGAGAGGGTTTGGTTCTGGGTTCTGCAAGGCATTTTGGGCCTTCTGGGCTACTGGCTTCCTTCCCCAGCACCCAAACCCTGAAGCCTGAGGCCAGGGAACATGGGCCATGGGCTAGGAGGTACAAGGAGATGACTCACTGGTAGCAGCAGCCAGAGCGAGGGATATCCTCCATGATTCACCCCCACATGGCTGTTCTGTGGATCCCTGGGCACAGCAGCCAGGGCCCACCTCCTGAGCCTCTGGGCATCTGCTGAGGGACACATACCCCAGATATGACAGTCCCAAGGACTCTGGCCCTTTGGCCTGAGCCGCCTCACCCAGATGTGGGCTCTGGCCTTAATAACAGCAAACAGCGCCTGAGCACTGCCTGGTGCTGGGCCAACACAAGGGAAAACAAGGTCTGCCAGCAGTGAAATGACTCTTCAACTTGGTAGCTCTGAACTGTACTGACCTCCCAAATCTGCGCAAAAAGCCTGGGCCGCCTCCCAGATCCTCCATTCAGGGTGTGCAACCATCTTTCTATTTGATTTATGACTTAAGTCTCTAAAGTCTGCCGACCAGCTAGCCCCTCCCAATCGAGAGCTGGATAGATGGCAGGAGGTGGCCCTGTTGAGGCACCTGGCACTCTACACAGATCAGTTTTGCTTTTTGAGAGAAGGCAAGGAGCTACTTGCAAGGCTGCCTTCTTTCCTGGCCAGGCCTATCCTGTCACTGGAGGGACGGAGAAAGGCAGGGGCCTCTGAAAGGGGCTCCTTCCAGGGAAGCTGTGTGCCCCACTGAAGGCCCTGGCTCCCAGGGCCCTGGGCCACCCTGTGCTGAGGCTGCAGCCCTCCACCTCCACCTCCACCTCCACTTACCGTGCCTGCTGCTGGTCGGCCTCCACTTGGCTGGCCTGGAATGAGAGACAGAGAGCTTCTTAGTCACTGTGAGTCTCACTTCACTTGGCAACTGGTGTGTGTGGGGGGGGGCGGGGGAGGGAGTCGGGGGGGCGGGATTTGCTCTCATAACTCTACACAGTGGTGGTGGTGGTGGCATCCAGGTCAGAACTCGATGGCATTCTCCCTCCCCTCCTGTCAGCCCCAGGAAGGAAGTGCCAGCTGACCTGGGCATCCTGGGCCTGGCCTGCCTCCAGCAGGGCTTCGATGGACCGGATCCTCTCAGTGAGCTGTGAATTTTCTGCCCTGGACTCCTTGAGCTGCCCGTGTAGACCACTCAGCTCCTCGCACTTGCTCTTCACCTCCGCCTCGGAGGACTGTAATTTGCTGTGCAGCTCTGGGCCAGAAGGGGAGCAAGGGCAGGTCAGGGGCAGCAAATGCCGGCTGGACACCATGCCTGCCCTTCAGCACACTGGCACGGAGGACTCCTTCCCTTGCCTCCTCCCTGTGCCTGGAGTTTAAGGCTTACTTCTGACCCCTGGGGCATCTCATTAGCTATTGGACAAAGTCACACCTCGGCTTTGTTCTCGAGGACTTGTTAGGGTGAATAAAAGGCCCTCAGAGCACTCATGGAAAAATGCTGAAAATCTAGAATGGATTTCAGTTGCAGTTTCTAAAAATTGGTTCTCTATGAGACTGGCTCATTTTAGCTGAGACTAAGGACAGGGGTCTTCTGGGGGTGTCCTTCCTTGATGACCTCAGATAAGTCCCATGGTTCTAAATGTCATCCATGTGTCTATGACTCTACAAAGTCCCAAAGCTCTGGTCTCATCCCCGCATCAGGCTCAGCGCCTGACACTTCCAAATGAAGCTCTGCTTAGGAACTCAAATCCAGCACCAACCTCCCCATCTGGCTGCTCTGCTTTCCTGGGCTCCTGCCTCTCTCTCATCTTCCAGGCCTAGGATTCTACATCCACTGTCTGCCGAGTCCATCCTTCCCTCACAAGCACCTCTGTGACTGGGCCCAGCACTATTTCCTTTTGGCCTGAATGACTGCAAGAGCCTCATTCCTGGTCCCCTGGACCACTCTTGCCCCTCCAGTACATTCTCAACCCAGCATCAAAGTATCCAGAAGTGCAAATGGAACCATGCCATCCTCCAAACTCTCTGAACCCTTCCATCACTGAACACAGCACCCAAACTCTTCACAGGGAGGGTCACCCATCTGGCCCCACATTGCCCACTTGCTTGCTTTCTTCAGTCACTTGCTGACTTTCTATTTCTTGTACAGGCTAAGTTCAAGTTCCCATTTGCAGGGGTCCTTTGCTTACCATACTGCCCCTTCCTTCCATCATCCATATCTCAGCTTAAACACCTGCCCCTGCCCCAACTGCCCAATCTAAAGCCACACCTGGCGATGAGAGGAGGGGTCAACAAACCGAGCCTAGGGGCCACCCATTTTTGTAAATAAAGTTTTATTGAAACCTAGCCAGACCTGTCTGTTTATATAATGTCTGGAGCTGCTCTACACTATGGCAGCAAAGCTGAGCAGTTGTGACAGATACCATCTGGCCTATAGAACCAAAAATATTTACTATCTGGCTCTTCACAGAAACAGCTGCCAACCCTGCTCTAGGTCATGCTGTCTATTTGAAATCTACAGAGCACAGACTGTCTGACCTGTCGACATGTGTCTATCTACCTATGTCTCTCCTGCTGGAACATTGCGCAGATGCCCACGGCTTCACCTCTGGCCATGCCCTGGGCACCCACAGCAGTGTTCAGCCCATGGCAGTCGCTCAGGAAATACTGAGCAAGTGACCAATGGAGCTGTCGCGGACACTGTCTGTCTTCTTTCTCTAGGGGCCCTGGGTGCCCCCGACTCTGCCATCCCCTCCTGATTGTGAAGCAGACCTGTGAGCACAGGGGAACCATAGACCCACCTTCCAAACCTGGCCTCTTGAGCTAACTGAGCCAGGAGAGCTAGAAAGGTCCAGAAGAAGTCAGCTGAGAAAGCCAGCAATGCCCTCAGGAGCACCTCGGCTCCCCCACAGCAAACAGGAGACGGCAGCACCTTCAGCCATCACCCAGCCCTCAAAGGCTCCCCCCCAATCCCCCCCGTCCTCCCCACACCCCGCCTTTATAAGCTCCACCGCTCACCCAGCCCTCACAAACTCCACCCCAATCCGGCTCTCCCACAGGAGTGAGCCTCACCCCTGCACCTCATCTGTCCCCTGACTGGGCACAATCCCTGACTCACAGACTAACAGGACTAGCTCACTTTATGGTTCAGGGTGTACAACCATAAAGACCTTAACCACCCCGCCTGGGCCTCCAAACCAAGCCTCGCCCTCACCGGCCAGCTGCTGCTGCTGCTGCTGGGCCTTCTCAGCATCTGCCCGGAGACTGGCGTGGCTGGTCTGCGAGCGGCAGAGCTCCCGGCTGACCTCGTCCAGGCGCTTCTGCAGGGCTTCCTCACTCTCCTTGTGAGATGCCTGGGGAGAGGGCAGAGGGAATAGGGCCATGAGGATACAAAAGGGAGGCCAGACCCTCAACTAGCTCTGAGGTCACACAGAACACCCTCCCATCCACCCCGATGACCTTTATAAAACCTGCCTGAATTTCTCAAGTCAGTTCACCCATGGGTAAAGCCAGGAGCCCATGCCCACCTAGCCCTTGAAGAGCTGGCTCAGGGTGAAGGAACCTCAGGTGAAAGATAGTCACAAAAAGGAAAAACCCCATTCTCATTTCAGCATGGCACAGAGATGCTTCCTACAACAGAAACCCCCAGTCTAACGTGGAGATTTCCTGAGTGGGCCTTTGTACAGATCACATTTACTGAGCTCTTTTTCTGTGCAAGGCACTGTTCATGTGCCACATGGTTAATCCTCAGCCACCGAAAACAGATACTACTGTCATGCCTATGTTACAGATGGGGAATCCAAGGCTCTGAAAGCCCACAGCAGGCACCAAGGGCCTCAATGTCAACACCATGCCCTGGTCTCCCTCACCACCAGTGGCCAGCCACTCCCAGAATTTTTGTTATCAAGAAGGGAAAGAATGGACCCCTTGGTGTGGCCCAAGGCTGAAAACAGTGTCTGAGGCCTGAAAGGGCAGGAGCTGCTCGGAGTCTGGGGTTTACTGACAAGAGCCAGGCCCAGGCCTTGGCCCCAGGATCCTTAGAAATGGCACGTGGAATGGCAACACCCTGGTCTCTAGGGCAGTGGTTATAGCACCAGAGCATCTGGGAGCCTTTAAAACAGTCGCAGCCATTCCTGCCCAGGTGGCTCTGATTTCACTCATCTGGGTGGGTCTGCTTTACATGAAAATCGGTAACCACCAATTACCCACCTTGCTTTCACCTGAACAACCCAAACCGTGTTGATTTGTCCATATGCCTTTTTTAGTCTTTTGTACACAATTTTGTGTGTCATTCTAGTCTCTTCCACAAGACAGCCCCAATGACCCTTGTGCTACCGCCTAGATTTAATGATTGGGCAGAAAGTGGACCCAATGCCCTTCGGGATGGCAGGATTTCCTTGTTACCCAGAAAAGTTCAATGAAAAGCAGGCACGATGTCAAGACTCCCCACACCCTGTCATCCTGCCCCAAAACAGGCCAGCTGGGGGGCCACACTAGATGTTGCCCAGGACACTTTGGGAACAGGGGGACTGACAATCTTCCTTCCTCTGGCGAAAGGGCATCCTCTGGGGAAATCAGAGCTTCCAGGCCACATCTAGAGGCTGAGAAGGAAGAACCCTCCCCCAGCCTTGAAGCCAGAGCTGCTGATGTTAGTCTGGATGGCTATGGCCAGAGCTGCGGTACCAGACGTGGCAAAAAGTGTGGGAGAACAAACAGCTCTGAGGCTCGACGTGGAGGTTGAAATCTTGCCTTTGTGTGAACTTGGGGTAGTTGCTTACCTTCTCCATGCCTTGAATTTCCTATGGGTAAATTCCAGATAGTAATAGAACCTACCTCATAGGGTTACAATAAGAATTAGCTAAGTTAATGCTTATAAAGTGCTTAGAGCAATATGTAGCCCATAGAACGAATCCATTTGAAGCTAGCAAGCTATCACTATCACTAATGAAGCCGGGGTTGAGGGTTCCAGTTCCCGTCCTGCCTGAGTCTCTAGCTGTCAGTCATGGCTGGAAGGACTCTGTGTGGCTGGGCAGCCCTGGCCCGTTCCTGCTACTCAGACAGGCTTGGTGGGAGGGGTGAACAATGCACTGAAGTGGCTGCCACTGTGACTCACCTGCAGCTGCAAGACCTGCTTCTCGAAGGCAGTTGCTTTGGCCTCCAGAGCCTTCCGCTGCTGCTCCTCTTGCCGTGCTGTCTCTGACTTCTCCACCAGCTCCTTGCTCACCTTGCTGAGCTCCTGCCGGAGCTTGGCTAGCTCCGCGTTCTGCCTGCAAGACAGTCACCAGCCCCCAACTGACAGACAGAAGAGGGCTCGAGTCAGCTCTTGCCAGCCCTGAGAGCTGCCCCTGGCTGACTGGGACTGTGATGAGCCCTCCCTCTGGGCCACCTGCTCTTTCCTAAGTAGCTGCCTGAATCTTGGAGCTATTACTAAGCCCCTCTTGCATTATCAGCCAGGTGAGGTTTTACCAGCATGGTGTGTGGACCAGAGAGAGCGAAGAGCAAAATGTGCACTAAAAGATCCCACAGGCGCCCCTCCCAGATACCTAGGAATTCAGATAGAAAAAGGTAAGACACAATTTTCCTCATTGCCAACTAGGGTCCAAACAAGCCCTGGGATGCAGGCTGCCTTGCTGGACCCCTGCAGGGCTTGGGGCAGCAGCCCATTGGAGTCCTGTTTCACTGGAGGCCGCCCGAAGCAGGAGGCTGAGGCCCTTCACAGAACAGAGCTCTCAATACCGCATAAAAGGTGGGTCTCAGGACCAGGGAGAAGTTCAGGAGGGAGGGAAGGAGACGTGGTTAACAGGAAAAAAAGGGGCAGGTCAACGCCTGCCTTTCCTAGTGTGAAGAGGTCATCAGCATGCAGTCCTCCTTCACTAGACAGCTTTTCAAGACAGGACCGACGGTTCAGCCAAGGGACAGACCAGACAAGACTTGTCCACAAGCCTGGGAGGCAGGAAACCTGGCCAAGACCAGCTCTGTCTACTGCTGGGGGTGAGAGGGTCCCACCTCTGGACTTGGGTTTCCCCATCTGAACTAGGGAGGCCATCCAAAACCCTCTGCAGGCCGTCAGCTCAGGTTTTACAGCACCAAGATCCAAGACTGGAGAGCTCACGGGAACTGCTAGACTCCAGGACCCTTGATGAAGGTGGGCGGCTGGGTGGGCAGCTCCTTGGGACTGATATGCAGCTAGGGAGGGGCCTGGGAACACCCATCCATATGGGCAGATCTCCCACGAATTGACAGAGTCAGCAGCCGCCTCCTCAGGACCACGGGTCTCCATGCTTCGGAGCTTTCCCCAGGATAGAGGCCACAGCAAACCCTGCATGGGGAAGCCAGAATGCTCCTCCACCCCATGTTCACCTTCTGCTGTGGCTGCAGAGACGAACCCATGGGCCAGGGTGGAGATGAGATGTGTACACACACACACCCAAAGGGGACCTCCAGAGAGAAGAAACTGGCCTGGGGAGGGTGGCCTTTGGCTCTCACTCCGTGGCAGGAGGCCCACCAGCAAAACAGGCGTGCGGGCACTGATATGCCTCCCTGGTCTAGATCCTGGGCCAACACTGTCCCCTGGACTTCCAGTTAAAACACCCCCTGAGGGTGCCCGTGCTCTGCCTAAGTCAGTTCTCCTCTTGGCAAAAGGAAATGCTCTGGGGGCAACGCAGATACCCAGAAAGTCCCTTCAGGATGCTTCAGGCCAAGAGGAGGCAAAGAAATGTGAATCAAAAGAAAATGCAGGGGCCTTCCTCTAAGAACATGGCTGAGGTTCCGTACTGCCCGCTGGGGTCGTCCACTTGCTGTGGACTTGCCAGAACTTCAGATCCCGAGAGGCAACGTGGAGATCGAGAACTCTGCTAAACAGGCCGGGCCAGTGTGTTGTGAAGCGATACTTGTCACCAATGCATCGAAAGCAAATGTCCCTCCAGCACAGACCTTGTTCCCAGTGGAGAATCAAGGCGTTCAGGCCCACAGCGGATCCCTACAACACATCGAACTCTGAACTTGGACAATCCACTCAGCCTTGATACTCTAGGTCACAATCAGGAGTTTTTAAAAGCCTCAAATCAGGATGTTGTGAAGATAGACATGGAAATAGTATCTGCTCGTCCAGGAAAGCAGATGCTGGCACCAGCCAGGACCTGAGGGGCTCTTGATCACAGGGGCATGGGCAAGGGTGTGCTGGAGCTCACTCCTCCCTGCAGCCTGACCACAGGAGAGGATGCCAGCCATGCGCTGGAAGGCTCAGCTGCTCCGAACCAGGTAAGAGATGGAGGAGGAGGATGGAGCCTCAAATGGGGAGGTGCAGAAGTGCCCAGCAGCCCCATATCCAGCCTTGCAGGAGGCTCAGGGACCCCCAGCTCCAGAGGCCCCCAGGGCTGTGCCGTTGCCAAATCCGACTGGGAGCACTGAGCTTACTTGCTTTCCACCTGGCTCGTCGCTTGGTTCAAGGCGTCCCTCAGGATGGAGTTCTCCTGCTGCAGGCGGGCCAGCTGTGTGTTAGGGCCATTCTCCAGCTGTTCCTGAAGTGTCCGGACCTAAAACCATTGATGGGTATCAGTGCTACTTGGCCTTACAGGGAGCTGACTTCTGGAGCCAGGTTAGTGAGATAACAGCCGCAGACAAAACCCCCAAGGGCTCGCTTCCCCACATGAGGTTGACAGGACCCCTAAGAACAAGAGTCTGGAAACTGAACAGCTCTAGCATCAGGAGCTCAGGGCCAAGAGTGACCCCCCAACCACACACCTCCTCTCCCCTCTGAGGCTTCCAGGCAGCAAAGTGCTCAGTCCAGAGTACCAGACATACTCCACACACTCTCAGCCCGAGGTCTGAGACAAAGGACACAGCCATGGTCACAGCCTAAAACTACCCAGGAAGCCTGGGACCCTGCCTCTGGCCTCCTGTGGCCCACCATGAGCAGAGCACAGGTTTGAGAAGATGAGGTCCAGGGCTCTGACTCCTCAGGCCAAGGTGGACACACCTCCTCTGGCCCCATTCCAGAGCCTTTTGCTTTAGGTGATTTTTCCAACCTCAAGTAGAAAAGGCAGAGCCAGCATTACTCTAGGATCACAGGGAGGCTGAGAACTTGACCCACAGGCACCCAGGAGACAGGACATAAGACTGGCTACTTGGGACCCAATTATTTTCAAAAAGAGCTCTTTAAAATGTATGTTACATTTTCCCAGTTAGTATCATTAAATATATAAGGTAGGCTGGCTGCCACTATCTGGCCAGATAAAAACAGTTGCTTCCTTCAAAAACAAACCAGATTCTATAGACCCACCCCCATCCCCGAGGGCACCCTGAACTGCCCTTTGCGACCACTCCAGCCCTCCTTGGCCCCACACCACTGCTCACCTTGCCCTGTAGCTCTTGCACCTCCTTCATGTGATCCCGGTAGCTGGCCTGCATTCGGGCCTGCACAGCTGTCATCTCCTGATCCTTGGCCACCAGCTGCTTTTTCACCTTGGCCTCCCCAGCTGCTGCCTTTGCCTTTTCTGCTGCCAACTCCTGGAGAAAGCAGAGGGCCAGTGAGGCAGGGGCAGGAGCTTATCAGATGGGACTGAGATCATCAGAACCCAGAGCATCAGCTGGGGCTAGGGCTGGGAGGAGCTTCCGAGCAGAGCACAAGACCCCATCTCCTGAGTTCCGACAGATCCATGCCAGCCACAGCAGACAGCAAGCAGGAGACAAGAGGTTACCAGAAAACCCTGCTGGCTTGACCAACTAAGGGCTGGATGTCAGGCCTTGGCCACAATGGATATGGACACCAGCAAGAGCTAAGTAAACAGTATTCTCTTCCTAGGCTCTCCAGGGACACTCCAGCTCTGCTGGGATTATAACACTCCAGTTGGCGTGGTCCCTGATATCCAGGCCCCAGAACGCCTACCTCTACTTGAGTACCTTTGTCAGGACTGACAGGCTCCAAGTTTGATGGCTGGGGTGGGGACACTGCCCGTCCTATCATGGCTGGGGAATCAGCCCCACTCCTGGAGGGCCTAGTCTGTTGTGGGCAACCACTCAGTCCTCCTTGGGGGAATGTCTGCTCTGGGCAGTGTCAGATGCCACAATGAACACAGGATGTTTGGGCCTGGGGGCCCAGAGCCTTAGGCAGGGGCAGAGCACAGGGTGGGAAGGGGAGGCTGAGGGAGAAGAGCTGGCTGGGATCTGTGTTATTCCAGAAAGAATGGCAATGGACATAAGCCTTGTAGAATCACAGTGCGAGGGAGGGTTGATGAAATGGGCCTCTGGGAAGTGGGTGCTCTCCGTCCAGTGGGCCTTCAGCCAGAATAACAACTACTTAGTATGGCTCCAATTTGCCTGGGTGAGTGGGATGTAAGTGTCTCATGAGATTCAAAGCCCCATCTCTTCCCATTCTGGGCAATGAAACAGAGAAATGGGAAATCCTCTCCAGTCCAGGGCTGCCAGGGAGACCCATCCCAAAGGGCCAGAGTGCCCCTCCTGTCTGAGATGGGTGAGAATTGGAGGCAAGGCGAGGAGCTGGGTGCACAAGGGGAAAGGGGCACTGCGTTCCAGGGCTGCTCTGTGTGGTTGGGGTTCCCTAGAAACACCTGGGACCCACTGGCCCTACTTTTCAAAGACAATCCTCCTCCTGGCTCCACCAGGGAGAGAACCCACAGGGACATGAGGTCCAGACTCAGGAACGATTCACTGATTATCCACAGAAATGGGAGGAGAGGCTGGCACTGTGTGCCCGCCCTGGGACAGACAGGTGTCTCATTCAAGTCTCAGTAAGGTGAGGATCTTGATCCCCAGGTTAAAGTGGAGCTCACTGACCCTTGGGAAGATGTTGTTCTAGGCTGGGGAGCAGCTGTAAGTAGCAGAGGTGGTCTGGAACCTGGGACTGTGAGTCCACAAGGGTCCCAGAAAGTGGGAGAAACGAAAAGCTGCCCCACTCCTCTGGCTGGCCCGGCACCTCTAAAGCAGGGCAGGGCAACTTTGTGGGAATTCAAAGCTCCACCAAGCTTCCTCTAATATACATGGCCCTGCCAGCTCCCCCAGCAAAACTCCACACACTAGCAACACGGTGACGCCTTCTAGTACAGGATCCAGGCTTGGAAGAAACCAAAGCTCAGAGATACCCTGGAGTGCCCATAGCCACACCAGCAGCAGGTGGTGCAGCCACATTGGATCATCCTCCGCCCACCTCTGCTGTCCACAACTAATGGACACCCAGAAGCTGGCACTGAGCATCTGTCTAGGGCAGTGATGGCGAACCTATGACACTCGTGTCAGAGGTGACACGCAAACTCACTTTTTTGGTTAATTTTTCTTTGTTAAATGGCCTTTAAATATATAAAATAAATATCAAAAATATAAGTCTTTGTTTTACTATGGCTGCAAATATCAAAAAATTTCTATATGTGACACGGCACCAGAGTTAAGTTAGGGTTTTTCAAAATGCTGACACGCCGAGCTCAAAAGGTTCGCCATCACTGGCCTAGGGACAGCCTTCCCCACGCTGGGCAGGACTCATGCAATTCCAGGCATCTAGCTGGGATCCCAAGGCCAGCAGAATCTAATGGGATTTCCCTTCCTTTAGCCTCTGGGCTTTTTTAAAGGGCAGAGAAAGGCCAGCTTTTCCTCAGGGCATTTGTTTAGCCCTCCTTGGCTTTGTTTTCTCCTAAGAGCTCAGAATCCCAGGATTCCTCTTGTCACATTCTAAATTCAGTTGCAAAGGTCAGATTCATTTTCCTGAAATGCATCCCCAGTGGTGCTGGGGACTGGAGGACTGGAGCCCAGTTCTCTTTGACTGGGCTGGGCGAGGAGGCTTGGCACCAGCACAAACACTGCTGGCTCAGAAACGGCATTCTGCTCTCAGTCCGAGAGTGGCCCTGCTTGGTGTGAGCTTCCGAAGCCTGGTAAGGCATGGACAGCAAGAAGACCTCCCACTCCATCCCTGGGAGCACACCACCCTGAGGGTCTTCTTGACTGCATGACGCTAGGCCTGATCTCCCAGGCTGAGAGAACACAGGATGGGGTCTAGTCCAGAGCTCTGCCTCAGGACAGAGGCCCCATGACAGAGCACCTGGTGCCTCAGAAGACTACAGCTAGAAAGATGGTTTTCCAGAGGGCTGCACCAAAGCCATGCATGGTTCCTCAAACCCAGGCACAGGGCCAGAAGACTGTCAGAAGGCTAGGACAGAAGTCAAGGGTGCCTATGCCTGTTAAGTCCTACAGCTGGTGCCTAAAATGGTCCCTGAGCCCAACTCTGCTGAGACTTCACCCATTTGTGAAGCATGGATCCATCACAGAAAATAATCCATAAGGAGAACGAAAACACATGGAGGGAACCAGATCCTTATGAGAGGAGAAATTCCACATTTCCCAAAATTTAGTTTCTCATATAACTTTCCTCAATGGTCCTGGGCTAGGAGACATGACAAGAATGAAATCAACACATCAGCTCTGCCCCAAACTCTCAACAGAGAAATGCAGAAACCTGATGTCCATGGATTCCAGAAGCACAGGGAGGAAAGACGACAATTCCAAACCGTCAGAGGCTGTATCTTCTTAGCTGGCCTCAGGCCTCAGCAGCCACTTGCTGACAGGCGGCCTGCTAGGCTGAGCCAATCAAGCTGGTTAGAGTCACCAGGGACAGAAACAGTGGCACATGACTGCAATGGCAACCTCTGTGCTGAGACCAGAAACTGGGGGCTCCGGAAGGATTCCCGAGGGCGAGCAAATTGAGTCTTCCAGGATAGGGAAAAAATGCCCAGCCAGTTCAGCAATGAAGAGCATTTGAGGCTAATGGCAGAGCATGAAGAATGCCTCGCAGGACCAGGTTAGCACTTGAGAGCCTGAGAGGACCTCCTTGGGCTGCAGGGAGGAGGATGTAGTCAGAGGAGGGAGGGCTGGATGCACCTCAGACATCTCGCCTTGGAGCCAAGGCCTGGATTCCTGGAGGGTGAGATGAGTAATGAAACCAAGGGCTGCACCCCTACATATCTCACAGGCCCCTGCAGCTGCAGCCAGGGAGATCTACCAGGGGAGGGCTAGACATATAATAGAACTGAGGAGAGTATCTGTAGATTAGCTGCCACTGTGGTTTTGGCAATCTCGTGAAGCAGCCACCACTGAGGGAGAGCAGTAAGTGTCCAGCACAAGGGGCAGTGTCTGAGGGGCCTCCTTCTGCACGGTTCACTGACCCGCAGTGGCCGGAGACAACAGTAGTGGGGAAGAGATGCCACAGAGGCCAGCATCACCGTCAGAGGTTGCACTTATTCACTCATCACACCTGTAGCCCTTCCTAAATTCAAGGTGGTAGGCACAAGGTACTAGCCAGGCAGCCCCATGCCAGTCAGCTGTGGGAACACTCCTTTTTTCCCCCTCACCTGAACCTTACTTTGGGGGTATCAACAAATTTTCACAGGCATTTCCTAGTTTGTCTAGTAAGAGGGTATGGAAGGACGGCTCCCCTAAACCATAGACACTTAATCAATGGTGTGCTGGTCAGCTAGCTCTTAGGGAGAGAGCTCTGAGCTGGCTCACTTCTATGGTGTAAATGCTCCAGGCCTAGGGCATACTATGTCATATCTACCAGGAAGAGACATGTGCAGTCAGCTCTTGGGTGCAGGGCAAATGGCTCCAGCCACCCTGCATTTAACCAACAACACAACATGGACTTGTGTGAAGGCCACATATTGAGCCTCCCACACCCCCAACCTAAGCAGAAGCTACCAAGCTCTAGACCTGCCTTTTTTTTTTCCTTCTCCTGGGCGGAGCATTAACCAAGAGTAACCAACCAGAGGCTCATCTTCTACTCCTGCCTTCCCCCCAAACTATGCCATTTGACTCAAAGCCACATCCCTCCAATTTAGGACAGAAACTCAGGCTGCCTCACTTATGAGTCTTCTCAAATGAGCAGATGGAAGGTGCCCAGAGGAGGGGCTGCAGCCTAGACACTGTGGGGCATCCGGGGGCCCAGGCCACCCCTGTACCTGTTGCACTGTTAAAGGAGGCAGAGAGCCGGGAGAGGGAGAGGGCAATGCTCAGCATTGTGCTGGCAAAACCTAGCCCATGGGCTGGGACACCAGAACTTTCTCCTCAGAAGGGGAGGGAGAAGCTCCAGTGAGTTCTGACAGGGAGAGCAGCCCGTGTGCATGTGTCCTGACTCATCTGATTGCTGTTCACTGAGTACAAACGTCACACACCGGCCATCAGCTGACTCAGGAGCCAGGCTTTCCCTCAGGATTGCTCCACAGATAGCAGAAAAGGGAGAAAAGCAGCCCCCTCTGCCCCATGAAAACAACTGTGGGTCAACTGCGCCCATCCTCCTTTTCAGGGTGTATACCCTAAAACGATGGCCCATAACTGTGGGACAGGGCAATGACCCCATCTCACACTACTTAACAACCTGCGTTCCTAGTCCTGAGAAGGAAGCAGCCACCCCACGGAGCTCTGCAGGGGCTGTACAGGCTGGCCTCAGGCTCCCACAGTCGCAGTGCGCGTTGGTTCAAGGGGCAGTTACATGGGCAGCCCCGAGCAGAGCCAGAGTAGGGAGGCAACCCCCGACCCAGGAGCAGCACTGCCACAGCCCAGGGGCTCTCAGGATGGGGCATGCGCTGGCCGTACCTTATTGAGTTCCCTCAGTTTGCTCTTGGCAACAGCCGCGTCTTCCTGCTCTGTGGCCAGCAGCTTTTCCTTCTCTTCCAGCTGGCGTTTCAGAATCGCCACAGGGTCGCCCTTCTGAGTGGCCTGGAAATATCCATAGAGCCACATTAACAGAGGGTACAGACAACTTGGTTTGTCCCCCCAACCCAGCAGACTCTGACCCAGTGTCTTGATGAAGTGGGAGCAGGAACTTCAAGACAAGCAGGTTCCACCCTGACTCCAGACATTTCTGGGGAAAGCCCGCCCCCCGCCTTAGACACCCAGTCTGTAGGGCCTCCAGAACCCACGTGCTTAGAAGCTGTTTGGCAAAAGCACTGGATCTTTGAGGTAGTTTTCAGGAGCATGGCGTTTCCCATTAACTTGGGTCAATGGAGGCCAGGGCCTCTCCAATGGGGGCAGTGGCCACTGTTTCTGATTCAGTGCCTAGCCCTTAGATTCTGGGTGCAGCCTGTAGATCCCTGGCTGAGGCACAGAAGCCATGGGAGGGGAAGCGTATTCTGGGACAGTAGCCTGAGTGGAGTTCAGGCCTCTCTCCTTGGAGAAGTGAGGTCATCCTGACCTCCAGCCACTCACAGCCAGGAAACCTCCTTCCACATACACACCCCTCTCTATTGTCACTGAGCGAGCAGCTCCTTGCAACTGCATAACACATCACAGTTCAGCAAGGGCCAGGAGTAGAGGAACCCCCACTGGCCTTTTAGGGCACCCCCCAACATCTCTAACCACTAAGTTGCCACAAAATTCTCCATCAAAATTACCTACAATTCCAACTCTGATTAAGGAATAAATAAATATGTGCCATGCAGCACTTCCTGGTGGCAGCTCATTCACCAAGGTACCAGAGGGTGGGTGCCAGCATCTGAACTGGCCCCCAACAGCAGGAGGGAAGGTGCTTCTGGTTCCATCACAAGGTTCCCTCACTCAGTGTGTCCCTACACATAGTCCTTCCTGCACCTAGAGCCCTGGCCACAAACTAGCTGGGCCCCCGCTCCTGTGTTGCACCCCCAGTCCCCTGGAACTCAGAGTGCTGCCCTGGCTCTTTATGTTTCAGTGGCCCAGCCACGGCTGGGCTGTAGCTGAATCCGAAGGACCTGCAGGGTAATTCCTGCAGCTTCTGCTTGGAAAAGGGCAACAGGGTTCTGCCGAGAAAGGTGAGTGGAGGCTGTTCCCTGTGCAGGTTGGCAAGCCAGGTGTGGCCACCCCAGGACCAGGTAGCCACTACAATTCACAGGTCCCTGAGAGGGAGGGGGGAAGGCCAGCTGCAGAGGCCATTAAACACAGGCAGGGGAGTGTGGGCCCACCTTATGCCAGGTGTCCTGAATGACACCAGCCTTCTCAGACAGGATCTCAATTAGCCGCTGGGCCTCACCCTCGTTGAACACCATGCTTCCAACCGTGGAGACCAGCGTCTTGTAGGGGAGGCAGAGAGGACTGTCGGTGTCCAGGGACCCTGTGCAGAGGGAAGGAGCAAGGACTTACACTCAGACAGGAGCAACCAAGCCAGTCAGAGCCAAAGATTCTATCCAGCTGCCTGGGGTGTGGCTTCTTGACTTAGGTCCCAATAAACTCATCGTAAGTTGAAAACATCGGAAGTCAAAATGCATTTAATACACCTAACCTACCGAACAGCTTAGCCTAGCTGACCTTAAACGTGCTCAGAACACTTACATTAGCCCCAAAGTCATGGAGCACAGAACCTATTTTATAATAGTGTTGACTATCGCCCAGCCAGCATGGCTCAGTGGTTAAGTTTCGACATATGAACCAGTTCACGGTTTGAATCCTGGTCAGGACACTCGCCCAGGTTGTGGGCTCAATCCCCAGTGTGGGGTGTGCAAGAGGCAGCCCATCAATGATTCTCCCATCATTGATGTTTCTCTCTCTCTCTCTCTCCCTTCCTCTCTAAAATAAATAAAAATACTTTTAAAAAAATAAAGTGTTGACTATCTCATGCAATTTATTATATGTATCGCTTTCAAATCACTGCAAAATTGAAAGACTAGGTGGAACCAGTGTCAGTCGGGGACCATCTGCACTCAGAAATGGAATAAACTGAGAGCCCTGCACATGCTTCCTGACTGTCCAAAAACAGCCGACGGAGAAGTCCCAAATAAAGAAAAGTGGAGTTTTCCTAGGTTGGGGGAGATACCCCCCACCCTTATCATCAAAATGAGCAGAATTAATCAAGGCAAAGGTGCTTTTTCTTTCTTTCTCAGACAGAATCGGTCTTTTTTTCCACTTTTTCTCAAACAGCTCAGCAAGGCTCACCCCCTGCATGACCAAGCCCTATGGCCCTGCAGGTCCTGACTGACCAGTGAGCCCATCATTCCCCACAAACACAGATGCCAACAGCCACACCCATGGGGGAACCATGGGAAGCAAAAGGCCCATGTCTCCAAGGTTGCTCTGAGGTCCCAGGGAAAAGGGGGCTGCTCCCACGCAGTCAGGTTCAAACACAATTTCCCGTTCCCCTGGGTGAAGCTTAGGGACGCTTTCAGAGGGAAGGCTGGGCTCGGTTCTTGCAGAAGGGCCTGCCCACGCCTCAGTCCATTAGTGACTCTGAAGGAGACAGAGCCATTTGCCAAAAACCAATGGTCACTTCTGAAACATTCCTGGTGCCACACCCCCAAAACACTTTGCTCTCATCGCAGACTCTCACAGAAAAAAGGGGTGAACCAAGATGCCCTGACTGGCAGGAGCCCTGCATGAAATGCTCAGGCAATTCCTTATGTTGAGGCTCAAATCTGCCCTTTAGCTGAATGACAGGGCCAAAAATGAGCTGAAACCAAGAAAACAGGCTAACCTGTGTGGCCCCTTCAGCTAAGCCCACCCTGAGGACAATGAATGGAGAAGGTTTCCATAGCAACCCCAAATTCTCTGGCTTATCATAATATTTTCATCACAAGTCAAAGCATTTAGCATGATACCTTAATAAGGAGTATGTGGGACATGGGCGAGCTGGTTGCTATGAGCACCTTCATTTTTGAGCTTCTTACCTTGGTGAACCTTGAGATTAGAAATAACCATGGTGACATTAAAGGCCTAAGAGCGCAAGGGTGCCATGAAAATGGGTTGGGGGGAGTGGGAGAGGAAGCATGTCCCCTTCAACCTTCTGTCTTTTCATTGAAATGTATATAAAATAAGGAATAATTTTAATGGCAACTTATGAACACTAGAAAAAAATTGAGTACAGATAGACCAAAAGAAAATAAAAACCACTCTCTAGTTCACTACTGGGAGAAAATCCCACTGTTAGCCTTTTAGGCTTCCTACTTTCCCCTCTCAACCTGTAGGCGGGTGTTTACTGCCAGTGTTTTCCCGAAGGAGGAGGACCACTCGTTTCACAGATACCCCTGAAGCAAGACTGGGCAGGCCAGCCTCTCTGAAGCCGAGCACCGCACAATTTCCTGTCCTCACTCAGAAAGGTCTACTCCTGTATTGTCTGGTACACTGGCCACCAACCAAGTGGGGGTACACCATGGATTTTCAAAAACTTCATATAAAGAAGTTAAATACCTGTCGTAACTTTTTTATATTGATTGTATGTTATAATTATAATGTTTTGGGTAAACTGGGTTAAATAAAATACGTCATTAAAATGAATTACATCATTAAAATGAATTACATTTGTTTCTTGTTTGCCTTTTTTAATGTGACTACCAGGAAGGTTTAAATTCCCTATGTGGCGCATACATGTGGCTCACACTGTTTCTACTAGACAGGCCAGTTTGCTCCTTTCCAGCCCTAGTGACCCCCAAAGCACTCCCTACTGAAATCCTGGCAGCCTCCACCCCCATAGGGGCCTCAGACCAGAGGCTTGGGCCTCTCTTGAAGGCTCTCCTTGAAGACCATCCTTCTAGACTCCTAAAGCCCCGAGAGCATTGCTGGGGTGAAGGGGACATCAAGGTAATGCAGCTACACTTCACTGTGAAATGTCATTTCCTTCACAGGCATCAATCACCCCAGTGGTCTCGACAATGTGCAATCCCTCCTGAAGGTCTAGGAGACACGAACCTTAAGACACCCAGTCCATAAACCATTTCTGAAATTACTCTGTAAATGTGTCATTCTAGTACATCTTTAATAAAACTTAATGTAATTGTATTATTTTATTAGCTATAATAATAAACAGTAATAAAAACTTGTAACAAGTGAAACAATCCAAAGCTACATACAGCAACACTTAATTCTCTCCTGCCCACTCCCCTCACAGAAACTTGCATGGCCTTCTCCATCCTCATACAAACACTATCTTTTACATTATTTTTAGAAAGCAATAACCTAACATTTTTTCATTAAGTCTTTTAGGTAGGAATGGTGCCATCTCTATGCTTCCTAAATCAGAGAAGTAAAACTAAAAGAAAAAGGAACTAGAATTTCTGGATATTTGTGGGGGTCACATTTATTTCTGAGTTTCAGATCCTCTCACCATATCAGCAGCACTAAGCCCTCCTTGAGAGAGACAGGCACACTGACTCCATCAACGAACAGCATACTCACAGGAGTTAATACATGCTTGAACATCACGCCTGACTCCAGCAAATACGCCGAAATCTAGAAATAATCCTTGGTATTATGAAATCTTAAGGCACTAAAATAAATTTGTCAAAGATTCAACATCTACTAGTAATCTGTCAAACCACAGACTTCATAAAGACCAGGAGGCAGTGACATCTCGTGAGATCAGTTCACTCAGGGCCTGCTCCTGTAACTAATGTTTTGCCTACCTTGGTGAGTCTGAAATACCAGGAACAGGACAGGGAGGCCTAGGGGAGGAATGAGGCAGCAGGAGAACAGAGTGGAGAGGCAGCGTCCCACTGCTCTAGAATACTCCGGACGCCTGTCTGGCAGGGGTGGGACAGGCCTGGGCTCAGGGGAAGCCTCTTCTGAGCAGGGTGGCCTTGGGCATGGTTCTTCAGCTCCAGGTGATGGACCTCATGGTCTGAACCAGAAGCCTCAGAGCTGCGGGCTTGTTTAGAGAGCTGGACAGGAGATTTTTATATGCTGTCTCCTGGCCTTCATTTAGCTAACTCAATGAAAAACAGATAAAGAAAACCACTGTGGAGCTGAACAAACTCATCCATGGGCCAGGGCCAGCCTTTAGGTCACCTCTGACCTTGGGCAGAGGCACCATGGTCAGAACAAGGCCCCGGGGGGCCTGGGCTCGAATTCCAGCCCTGCTCCTTCCTGCCTGCTCACCCTGGACAGGTGGCTTCACCTCTCTCTGCCTGTTTCCTCACCAGTGACAAATGGATAGCAACTGATCCTCCTTCACAGCCTCGCTACAATGTGCTTGAACAATGCCTGGCACAGGGTAAGGCACTGCCGAATCTACCCACAGGCCACCTTCAAGCCCATCACAGGAGAAATCGCAGACCCAGACCCTCCCGGAACAGACAGCGCTCCTAGGGAGGAGCTCAGGATAGCTGAAGCAATTCTGCCCTTTCTCCTACTCCCATCAAAGGGATGGAAGTCATACAAAAGTGGTGCCCAAAATACCTCTGTGGACAGAGAACCACAGCCTGTGGACCCTCTGGCTCCTGCCTTGTACCACTGTTCTCACTCAGTAGGTTAAAGGAGCAGCACATACAAGCAAGGAGCCATATGCCTCCTTGGCTCTCAGCTCTGATAATGCTCATAACGCTTCAAATTCCAAAACTAAGCTCCCTTTTGTGACCACAGGGGAGGCTCAATCACCTAAAATTAAACTTGTCTTGCAAAAAAGGCACCCAGGAATCTCTCTCAACTGGGGTCCTCAGGAAAATTTTCTCTCTGCTTGCATAGTTACGAGGCTCCCCGTCATCAGGTTCCAGCCAAAGGGGACCCATTGGGTTCCACAGCCCAGCAGTTTCAGCATCAGCCCCTTCAGTGTGGTTACTGGAACACTCCTGGCACTGCTCACGCTCAGCTTACTCAACCAACAGGGAGGGCGTCGGGACCTCTCCAGTAACTGCATCTGAGCTCGAGACAGCTGGTAATCAATGAGAGATTATTACCACAGCTCTGCCACGGGCTCCAGCTCAACTCCAGCTGTTGTTGCAGGTGCCAGCCAGGTAGTCCTCCCTAGGGCAGGCAGATTCAGGTGGTCTTCATGCACAAAGTATGGACCCATGTGTACCTGGCAGTCTACAGAAGGCTAGGCCTGGTAAGGTAAGTTGGGTTGAAAGTGCCAGCTAAGACGGGTGGAGGAGACACAGGACACGTGACAATCATGCAGCAGAGCCACACCAAAGGAACGCGGGACTGTGTGCGTCACTACAGAAGCAACTATGGCAGCAACACCAGAAAGGCTTTTAAACAGAGGATTCTTGAGCCAAACACTGCTGAGTAAGGAGAAGGCAAGGGCGGGGGCTTCAGCAAGGAGAGCAGCACAGGACAGGCACAGAGGCTTGCAAGGGGCCTTACTAGTCAGAGCGAGGTTGTGAGGCCAGGGTAAGCCCAAGTCTTCAT